GGCTAGTGTGGAGATTAAATTTTTTAACAGATTTAAAATTCTAAGTTGATCATAGATCACCATTGAAAACTAGTATGAAACTTCTCAGCACTCCCTACCCACCATACCACATTCTAGGATCGAACGCAGAATCTCAATCAAAAACGTAATTATCTCCACAACCCTATACCGATAATCACCATGTGCTCACTAGTGACTAACTTCGTGAGGGAATTCTCGGAGTTCTAGTGAGAAGTCATGACCAGTGGAGCTGATCCGTGTCGGGTAGAGACAGGTATCTGTCTCAGTTTAATGGAAGGTGCTCGCGCAATTCCATGGATTGGTTGATGTTAGACACTAACACCGTTGGATCCCGGCCAGATCAGTGGTCTAGAGGTTAAACGTCCGCGCGCGAGACCGAACGCCCTGGGTTCAAATCCCACGGGTGGGGTCGTGGATACCAACTACGGAGGAGTCCCACAATAGGAGGAAACGGCTGTCCAGTGCTTCCAGGTTTTCACTGGTGGTCTAACGCAAATCGGTTCATGATCTTGATTGACTAGTGTTGTATGAATGAAATAGTTTTTATTTCTTCAAATAATTTCAAACGTGTCGTCAATAACTATTTACTCACTATTAAGTAACTTTTTCAACCATATTAAGTCATAATAAATGAGCAGAATCACTGAAAAATGTAATCATTAGAAGTTTTATATGATGATTCTGATCAGTGTGGAAATTCTAGTGTAAAAGGTTAATCAAGTAGATTTTACATAATTATTATAAGTTATCATTAGATTATGATAAGTATAATATCGATATTTTATACACTATGGTGATATCAATAAAACGCTGACTATAAATGAATACAAATTTAATTGATTGGGGCTTTTTACCAATTAATTAATCATAATTATTGTAGTTTATTAAATCAATAACTCAATGTCGTTGTGGACACAATAAATGAGGAGAATTTTCCTTTATTTCTGAGTCAAAATTTAGTTGAGATTAATTTTACTCAATATGCAGATTCAAGTCTACGAATATTGCATGAAGTCTTTCATAATGATTCATTTCTTCATATTACATGGAACACATATTAGATTATCCTATAGTAGAGAAAGGGTTAATCTGATTCATGAACTTACAGGAATTAATTAATGTTAATGTCTCAGTAATATATTCTATTCATCAACTGATTTAATCTTGATCAGAAGATTGCTTACTTTTGCAAACAAAAAAACGAACTTATGGGAATCCGAATAAGGCTATTAATTTTCCAGCATCCATGAGTAAGATTTAATTATATATAGATGATGAAATCAAGATATCATTACCTTATTTGTATGTTACAGTTGCAAGGCGTTCCTCCATATTCAAATATGATATCATTCAAACTTTTAGTAAAGTAGATTTCATCTCCATCAGAAATCTACAAGTATAAAATGCTGAGAGTTATACCTTGTAAAACATTTCAACTAATCTGTTAAATCAACGAATTCAACCCTGGTGTTCTGTTTACTACGATGTTCACCACCTATCAAACTTGACAGGACAGACGCTCAAAATGAAAGGTAGATCGTTGAAAACCAGAAATTTCCTTTTCTATATGAATTACTTGAAGGTAAAATCCAAGTGTATATGTTTGGTAATGAAGGCATGGTGTAATAAAGACGTACAATCACCAGTCTTACAAATTTATCTATCAGTACATATGTCTGATAAATTGCACATATGAGAATAAAACCACTTAGTAAATTGATTGCAAGACTCAGTCGAAGTCTCATTAAGTTGGTGAACATATTAACAATACGTCTGTAATCCAGCAGATCTTTGAACATTGCCAGATGTGCCATGGGTCGACATTTGCTGTTTATCATGTTAAGTACTTAGAATCAGACCCTATAATTTAAAATTTTACATAATTGAGAAAACTTTTAATATCCTATCATAGAAATACGAAAGAACGCAGGTAGTTTATATCCTTACCAACACTAATCTCCACCATTTTAAACTGTAAGTAAGGATATCTTGAACTGCTCAACTTCAACATCTTTCGTTAGCATCGCCATAAGCAGTGTTCTGTAGATAGTCGTCGTCCGAATACATGTAAGTCTTGTAAACGTAGAAAGGTTTATTAAATTTCATTATACAATTAATATTTTTCCATCATTTTGTGATACAAGGACTACCAAATTTCAAGCTTAACTCAGACTTTTTAAACTACGAAAGGCGAAAACTTATTAAATATATATTATTGGAAATAAGCAGACATGATGCTGACCATCAGTGAAATCCAGGATGCGTGTTTCATTCCATTAGAGACTGGTCGGCTGTATATACTTGCATCTCATAGTTGATGTTCACTCCGAGACTCAAAACCAGTATCGTTAGCTTCAAACGCCAATGCGTTATCCACTTAGCTACTGAGTCCAGTTAGTCATTAGCTTGTGGTTTATAATGCTTATGATCTAAAACAATATCGAGGCAATCTGCACATGATGTACATATACCAATAAGAGACTGATCAGTTGCAGTCCTAAACATCAATGGGAAGATTGAAAAAACCAATACAAAAATGTATTATTGGAAATGTTTGTTCATTACTGATAACCGTTATTTTCCACTTTTCTATATTGTTTATTTGATGTTATCACGAATAAAATTATACTATTTTGCATAATTCATCGCTCAAATTAAAAAATATACCCAAACACTATAAATATTCACTCTAAAATAAAGATATTTTGTAAAAACGAACATCAGTTAAAGAGATATCGGTTCAAAACATACAATCAGAAATGGGATTATCAAGTCAACTACATATACGTGATCTGTATGAAGTTCTAGTTAACTTCTAATGAAGCAAAACGGATTCAAGTAGTTTAAAACAATGTATTTCATGTAATCACATTATGAATAATGAATTAATAGGAGAGTAATAATGAGAAAAAGTGAATTTATCATGAATTGTCTGGCTAAATAATCTGTTTACCATGGACAATCATTAATTTATGTCTATGCGATTTTTTCCTTATAATGATTGACTTAAACAATTGGAATCCCGAAATAGAACTTCGTTCATCTGCTATGTTGAATATTATTATTATTATTATTATTATCATCATCATCTTCATTATTAATACCAGCTTTATTCAATACCAGATACTCAGTTACAGTAAAGAATTTCCATTACAAGTTATGCAAAGTTGCAACGAATATTTCAGTTTATAATCACTTAAATTTTAAATCTAAAAATTATGTGCAAAAGCTTTTAAATATTGACAAGCTATTATTCGTATTTATCCGTAACTGTTTACTGTCTGTCCTGTTTTCATGACTTGATGTGTGAATCCTATAGTAATTACCTCTTGTGTCTTCAAAGGAATGAGGTGGATGAAACCACTAATTAGATTTACATTAGGATGTATACGTTTCCACTTACCTTAGAAACTATTTTTAGTAGTTGACATACCTATCTTATCTACGTTACACAGATTTGTAACTGAAGTGTTTTAAAGTAAGCTTTTCGGTGATTCGTCTACAAACCTATGATAGATCTTAACCCATAAATTTTACCTCAACATCTTAAAAATGAATCTGTACTTAGTAATCTTGATAGGAAAAATAAATGATCACCCCCCAATCAGTTGACTGAATTGGCTACAAGCTCTTGATATCCTTTTCAAGACTTCCTTTAAATCATAAACTGTACATTAAATTGGCAGTAAAATCTTGACTACTCTTTTACAATTACAACTGAACACATCTTAACTCACTTTACCTAATGGAACTCAACTTTTAAACAATGTAGTGTAATCAGTCTACTTCCTTTCTTTCTACATTGTTATTTAGCTTAATATATTTTTGCATTATTAGTCAATTATTATGTTTCATCAAAAAGAAAAATGATACTCCAAAAATCATAGAAATCTATCAACAATTTTCAGGGGTTTTTTTCTCTATTTTTTTAAATAATCCATGAGTTTTACTCTTCGCAATTACATATATAGAGCATCTTGTATACGATAGAAAGAATGGACAGAAATTTCGAACTACCAGTAATAATCTTATGACATCAACATTTCACACTGACATGACCTTTCAGCAAAATAACATTGAAAGTTCATAAAATCTGGTCCATATCTTTTGAGCTTTTAAACTATTCATATTTAAAATTACATACACCAATAATCTGAATGAGTTTGGCTGAGCACATAAACACACAGCCATGGTGGTGGTGATGATGATGGGAATATACATTTTACAGTCTGTACTTCTCCCCCTAATGTCTAATTTAACCGTGACATTTTTCTCATCTCACTATGTCAATCCAGTAAACGTTTGGTCAGAGTCATTGTAAGGCAAAACAAATCACATGTATGCATGCAGAGTAAGTGAGTTAATCTACGAAATTCAGGTAAGGGGACGTGCTTTCATCCCATTCTCATTCTGTTACTCCACCCTATATTATATTACTGCTCCAATCGATATGGCAATGACTACATATATATATAAATAAATATTGTATTCTACACACATCGCTCACTACCATACCTTGTAAGCTAGCAAACTCAAGGGTTGGGACATAAACAAACATACACAATGCACATGTACATAGATTGCCTTAAAAACATGCATTTATACACAAATTCAACTGAGTTCAAACATACTCTTATCAGGCACTTTCTCGAATAAAATTGTGACTGTCCGTACTACAATGTGCTAAACTTCATTCGGACTTATCTTAATCCATGGGACATCAGTATTTCATTGGATGAAAATTCAAACTATTAAATAAATTTTTAAAAATTCCTCTCTTTGTATATTCACTTACATTACTTGTAAATAAGTAATTTCTGTGAGTACATGGTTATGGTAGTTGTAGTTGTAACGGAAAAATAACAACCTGGACGAACGGGACGAACAGAAAAAGAAAAATCAAAATATTTTTCCTAACCCATTACAAAAAATTATTAACTAATAATTCCTTAAACTATACTACTTTATTATCAGTTAATATGAATGAACAACAAACATTTCCCATAACTACTACGATTCCTGATGTCACTACCGGCGATGAAGATACTGCTGTAATTGATACGATGAATATTAATAATAGTTATTCACCGAATACTCCATCCAAAATTGAATTACTTCCAAATCTTACTGATAAAGAAAGAAAAATTGAACATGACTTGGACAATAACAATGATTATAGTTTTCAAGATGATGAGCAATATCATCGTCATATACAAGACATGATGATTGATCAAAATGACGGTGATAATGTGACTGAAGATACCGATGACCAAGAATATCAAGATGACATTAATCAATCTAATAAAATGGATACATTCAATTTTAATTTCTCTCTTTCTAATCCAAATGATTCTGATGATTCATTAAAACAATTAACAAACCTAAACAAAGATACTGGCAAACCAATTTATTCAAAATCCAATAACAATGATGACAAAAGACCAAGAAAATTTATATGTCGTTATTGCAATAAAGCATTTAGTTTAATGAATGTTCTTAAAGTTCATGAAAGAATACATACTGGAGAAAAACCATATGTTTGTGAAATATGCAATAAAGCATTTAATCAAAGTGGTATGTTATGAGTATATTTTTATTATATGTATAAATATATATGTTTAATGACTAAGTTAACTTATATTCAATTAGGCTTTGCATCTAAATTAATGAAAATAGTAGTTTAATATTGTATAACATTTTGCATGATAATGTACTTGACTTTGAACAATACTTTAGTTATATAAAAGTTATTGATATCATTTGGCTGCTCAAATTGAAGTATATGAAACTGAGTTTGAGTCTGATACTTATTGGTTAGGGTTGAAGTTCGAAAGATCTAAATACAAAATCACTGCTTAACTTTGCATCCTACATAAAGAAACAATATTACTTATCAATATCATTTTGTCCTACAAATAGGTAAGAGTAATCCTTGCTCTATATTTAATAGTTTCTAACTGCCTCAAAATTTTAACCTCGCTTCAAACTATAATTATTAAGCGGTTGTATTACATTTAATTTAATGGACTGAGTGAATATGGAACCTATCCACAAATGGTACTATTTTATTATATTAATGTGTGTTTGCATCTGTGTGTTTGGAGTGTATAAAAATGTTATGTAATGAAATTTAAGATCACATTATTCAACAGTGACCTGTACTAAAATCTAGTAAACCCATTTTAGCTAATTTGGAATTTGTTCTATAGATGAACCAACATTCGTTAGAATTCAGATTAAATACCTATGGCTGCAAATAATAGTGTTATCTATTCATGGTCTATAAGAATCGCAAGTTAAGATCAATACGTTAATTTATATTCAATTATGATGCCTTAATCAATATAATTTTATACTGGACAGACGATCGAGAATATATCAATTTTCATTTTTTGGTCCTAAACTATGGATTATACTTTACCATTCATTTTCACTTATCTACCAGGTATGTATTTGTGTACTTGGCTTTGAGTCACACTCTAAGTGTAAGTTCTAATGATACCATCCGGTTGATGGAGAGGGGTTGCAAACCTGTCACTTATTGGCTTAACTACTGAACTGATAAGGAAAACTGGTCGTATAGCTATACCTGCTAAACTATTCGTCTTAAAATTGCTCTCATTACTTACGTTTTATACACTGTATATCTATAAACAGATCTGATGTAGTACATGACATAAAATATCCTGATTTCAAGATTAAACAATCTAAAAAATAAAGTTCCTATGTAAACGATACTCCTCATACATCTTAACATTAATTCCCATGTCTCCAATAAAAATTGCGATGAGATTTGGAGCTTATTTTGATCTTTTTTCCTTAAAATTCTTAGGATATGCTTACAAAATATTTTTTATGATAAATAGGTCACTGATTTTTAAAGATTGATAGATCACCATTAAGTATGAATTGGAAAATGTATTAGTTGTTAGGATCAACTAACAATAGAAATGCTTGATAATTAGAAGTAACTGAATTCGGTGTGCTAACTAGTAATACCCGTAACTATTTAATTTGTGCTTTATTAGTCATGTATGGACCAGCATTCAAGTCAGAGAGAACTCTAAGTATTTTGAATTCGTAATAATGTATATTGTTGTATACAACATCAGAAAATGTCACAGAATTTCCCTGTAAAACTGACCATTGAACTTTATGAACTTCACTGAGGACATGTTTCATTTCATCAAGGGCGACCTAGGATCTCTCGTGAATGTAAGTTACTGGACATTACATCAGCATAACAAGAGAGCGAATCGATGGCAATAGAATCATATAATTGAAAATAATGCTCTTAATAATATCAAGCTAAACATAAGAGATATAGTTTCAAAGGAACAAATGAAGTCAAAGAATCCAAGATATGATGGTTGAATGTTACTAGGTCACTATAAACCCATTGAGCAACTTTACCCAATGGTAGAGTGCATTTGATAATCTTGAAGAAATGCGTTATCCAAAGGTTGCAGAAATTACTCTCAGTTTCCGGTTAAATAACTTAAGCACCGAGATGTGTGTTTGATCGTTATTTTGAACAAACTTATAAGTATAATCAGTGAACACATTCTTTTGACCTAGAAATTTAACCAAATTTCATAAATGACGTTTTACTGCTATACTCAGAGTAGCTTATGAACTTGGAAAATTTACTGCGGTTTTCAGATATTAAATTCATTTCATCATAGAATAATAAGCTTTAAAATAGATTTCCATAAAGGTCTTTCTAGTATTACGGTTTGTTTAATTTCATTTCAAATACTATGCATTAAATCTTTTACAAAAGTTTAACTATTTTCCATAAACATTTTGAATTCACTCTTATTTCCCTGAAGCGAAAACATTACTATTGAATATAATCTCATTAAATAAACTGAATCCATTCTGTGTATATACATAGCACAAATGTTAATTAGTTGCATTGAAGCAAATTCTTAATTCGTAACCTGTTTTCTTCATAAACATATTCTCTTCCTACATTGACTACTTATACCATACTCTCTACTTGAGCTACACCGATGGTTGTAAACTGTCACTAGTATGAAGTAATTGTAAATAAGCGTCCACACGTAAGACTGAAGGTCATGGATTCAAACCTTCACGCACGGGATATGTGCTGCTGAGGAGTCCCATACTAGGACGAAATGACCATCCAGTACTTTCAGGTTTTCAATGGTGGTCTAACATTGATCGATTCATGTTCTCAATTGAAACTCTATTTATTCCACCTAGTTAGTAAGTAACAAATCATGCATCGCAAATATGCCAGATAGCAACCTGAAATCGACCCACTTTAAAAGTTTCTTTGTTTAAATAGTAATTCCAAAGTATCCCTAAGTCTTAAAAGTAACTAAACCTAATTTTCATAACTTATAGATCAAATGACCACTGAGATTTGATTAAAATACCCCGATTAGTCATACAGAATATCCACTTTTTATTGCTGCTATTTAAATGAACTAATCAAATTTTTGGTTAGATGTCTGTAGGTCATTCGTTTACGAAAAAGTCACATAATCACTCACTATTTGGTCTTATGACATCAGCCTTTATTGCATATATATGTATAATACTCATTGTTCTGTTTTTCTTTCAGCCTGTGTCTGTTAGTTGGTAGTTGGTCTTTGAGTCATTTGGGCTCAAGGTCATTCTCTCGACTGCAATGGTAATCTGTAAAGAAATTAATCAACACAAAACAATAATCATTTTGCTAGACTGTAATCTGCCATACGAAATCTGATCCCATATTTGTTACATGCATTATGGTTTGAACGAAAGAAATCCATAGTGTCTCGGTAACATAAATGAGCATAGATTGAGAGTAGAATTTTAGTTTTAAGTCATAGTTAATGTTAATCTTTGAGAAGAATTATCATGGTGATCTATTTCGTTAGAGTAACTTCAAAAATATGCTAGGTTTTATGCTAATAATGTACATTTTTATTGACTAACTAGCCGCCATTTATCTCTCGATCATTATGTAAACTTATTTTGATCCTTTAAGTTGTGTACTACATTTTATATTTGTCGACAGTTTGAGGTGAGTAATAGGCATAAATACATAAGTAAGCTACATCTGCATTTAACATTCCAACCCTGACTGCTCGACACGTTGATAAAAACAGCCTAAAAGAGCAGTTTATTACCATAACAAAATTATCCCGTCAGCATATTAACAGACTGAATATAATATTTCAAATGAGAGCACCAAAGAGGGGTAATATCAACTTAATACAGATGTAAATGATATATACTTTGTAAAATTTTCGTAACAGTTTAACAGGTCTAAATGTGAATGTCCAAATTATGTCTTGTTTCACTTAGATAGTCTAGTGTTGATCTATTTTCGTAATCTATGACCAGTTTGATACGTACTGCTACCTCCTTATAATTTCTTTAGTTTTGTTACTGGATTCCTGCAATAGAATGCTTGATTTTAAATGCATTTAAACCCTGTTCCTTCTTCACAGGATCAACAAATTTCTATATACTTACATGTGTGGTATCAACAAGTCGGCTAAAGCCTCTATATCACCTCTGCACCATATTGTTCGTATTAAGGAAATCTTCCACAACAGAGGGTAGATCGAACATATTTCACACTATTCAGAATGTTATTCCTCCTTTCAATGCTCGCCTTCCTAAAAAGCATTCAGTTTTCTTATAGAAGAAACACTAGTTAGTCAACAAGTAACCCCCTATAAATGGTAAAGTATGAGGATTTATAGAGTTCACTAGTCGATCTAAGCTAGACCACTATGGGTGAAGGGTTGCGCAGGATCATGGATCGATTGAAGTTAAACATTAACACTGTTGGATGCTGGCTCACTCGTTCAGAGGTTAGGCGTTCGTGCGCCGGACCTAGGGTCCTGGGTTAGAGTCCCGCGTGTGGGATCGTGAGTCACACTGGGGAGTTCCATACTCGGACGAGACGGCCGTTCAGTACTTCCAAGTTTTCCATGATGGTCTAGTTTAGATCGACTCGTGAATTCAACTGTTAACATAGTAAGATGTAGACTGAACGATATGCAGAGAATGTTTAGGTTATGGTTATCTTTTAAGAAATAAATCATTGTGGTTATTATTTCAGTCATGTTTGCTATGCTGTATGTAAAGTTATACTACAAAATGTTATACAAACTGTCTTTTTGAGACTCTCCACGGAAGGGGGATATTTTAGTTATTTGGTGTTTACTGTATAAGCTTGATTTCATTTCAGGTTAGACATATATGTTCAAATGACTAATAGTTTGTAATTATCCTCAATGTAAAATGTTATTCAATGAATTACTTGCTAAATCAAAGTCTCATTTTTTTATTATATCAACAACTTATATTTAGATTATTGTCCATTGATTTCTTCTGTAGCCAGTTAGTACTCAAACAACGATAACTGTCTGTCAATTGTGTTATTTTTAAATCAAGCAACTACAGCATTTGCTCACATTGAGAACTTTATTATTCGAAATTAACAACCAATGACATCTATAAAAGAATAATATTTACTACAATCATTTCTATTTTATTCGTATAAACATTGAAGGAAACTCACTTAAATGAACTCAGTTTTAGTAATTAAGAAGAAGCGACTTATTGGTTAAATAGCCCAAACATTTAACCATTCAGCTGTCAGGTTCGAACTCAGTTCCAACTACTTTGGTTTTGGCAGCCAATTAGTATCATTGATCCCTAGCTCAAAAGTATAGTTTAAACCGTAGTTAACTAGCCTGTATTGGGTTAACAACTTACATTGGTTTTTAACTTTTTCTGGATATTTCATAGAAGTTAAACTCACTGAAATCATTCAACCAAATTAACAGATCAAACGAGTAGCAAATCTTTTGTTAAAAAGCGTACAGTTTGATAAAAGTTTAATTGAAGCGAATATGTATCCTGATTTATTACCAACCTTAATCTAGCTTTCGTTATGAGTTGATATCAGATGGGGAACTACTGAAAATCAGGGGCACTAGATGATTGTTTCGTCCTGGTCCGGGACTCTTCAGTCGTACATATCCTCCTACCAGGGATAAGACATAGAACTTAAGGACCTCATGACATGTCCATTATCTCTACACTTCCACTAAATTTTATTACTGAAAAGACAACTAAGAAATCTATTTTAAGGCTAAACAATCAATAAATATTTACAATTCTAAAATCTAAAAATTTTATTTTATTTTTCAAGGTTCACTAAATCGTCATAAGAACACACATACTAAGCGTAGCAGTGATAATCGTAGTTATTCATGTCGATTCTGTCCACGTCAATTTCTACATTCTAGTCAATTACAAGATCATGAAACAGTGGAGCATAGTATGGAAATGAATATATCAATTTCAAAATCAAATGATACAAGAGTTAATGATTATACTACTGTAAAATTACCAACATCTTCATTATCCACAACATCTTTACCAATAATATCAACAACGGAAACAATAAAAACAATAACAGAAGGAATAACAGCTGATTGTAATATATTAAAACAAAATCATTTATCAAGTCAATTACTTCATAATAAATCAATAAACAATAATACCCTGAAACTTTCATCTTCAGAACATAATAATAAAAATTTTGACAATAATAATAATAATAATAATAATAATAATAGTAATATTCTTAATAATAATATAGATAACAATGATATAGACAATAATAATTCAATGTCATTATTAAATTCTAACCAAAATCTTTTTGAGCTTGATACAAAAATGACTGGTGTAACAAATAAATTTCCATTTCCTTATGGTTTAAATTTGATTAGTAAATTTTTACCAGTTGGTTTAACAGATGAATTTATTAAATCATTAGAGAATAATAATCTAAATGGATTATTACATCAATTACCTATAACAACAACTACTACAATAACAAGTTCTTCAACAGTTGGTATCACTTCTACTAATACTGTTTCTGGTATGAATATTTCAAATATTATTAATCCTATTAATAAAGGAATACTGAAACAGGACTTGTTAGATAATACAAATACATTTACTTGTACATTATGTTCAACAAATTTATCATCGAAAACTGAATTAGATATACACTGGGGACAACATTTTATACAACAAATGGGTAAGTATGATAAAATGTTTATCTGATATCATTATTATTGTTCTCATTTGGAATTTTTCATCAATAAAGTGTATTTTTAGGGATGATATTTATCATTAGGAATACATTCAAGGAATAATGGAGAAGATTTGTAGCTTAGGTGGATGATTTTGATGAAGTTTTGTTCTCTGAACTGGATGGTTTAGTTGTGGAGCTTTCATCGTTCTTCTGAACGACATCATCAGCACAAGCTATAGAACTATAGAGCACTTCACTTATACCTGAAGTTCGTGTTGATGATGTCGTTCAGAAGAACGATGGAAGATCCACAACTAAACTATCCAGCTCAGAGAAAAAAAACCCATCAAAATGCATTTAAGGGGTTAAGATACTTTCAGACTCTTATTGTAGATTTATTTTATTAATCTATTAAACATTTTAAAGGAGTTTAAGATTACTAAAATTGAAAATAATTAAAAGAAGAGTATTCCATTTGTGATTCAGTGATTACATTCTTGCCTTTTAGAAGAGATCAGGATGGTCATTCAAGCGAATGCATCAGTCTACTTTACTTCACTTCTTTTTAAGCGTATATATAAATTAACTGTTGAACAAAATTAATGATACGTAGAATCAGAATAAGTTGGCCAATACTTTAAGCAATCTAATGAATACAGTTTATTTAGTACCTCATTTTATTTATTTATTTTAACACATAGATATTGGTACAAGGAGGCACCAAATACATATGCGCCACACAAATCTCATTCGATATGTGTGAGGGCTGTGATACTGCCCAGGTGCCCAAATCGAAGCAGGTAGTTTTCTTAGGAGGCCATACCCCGAGCCTTCGACCTGAAGGTCTGATGCATTCAGTCTCGTGGAAGCCGGTGACCAACAATTGGTTCATACGCCATTTGTCCCCGCAGGATACTGGAGCCCATGTGCACCATTGATTTGGTTTGGGATCCGGTTAAAGCGCCGGACATTTTCATCCTCTCAATTTCGTAAACAACACCCCCGCCACGAGAAGGCAATGAGTAGGACTTCCCTGACAGAGGCTATATACACGTGGCCATGTGAGAGCATGTCGAGAGGGAGAACAGACTCTCCCCAATCTCGGCCGTACCAGAGCATTTAGGGGCAGTACCTCATTATAGGAAAATAGATAGTACCACTAGTCAGCACTCAAAATCAATTACAAAAATGAAAACAAGACAATATTTATTTTAATGAATCACATTAGTGTAAACTTTTAGGCATGTTAATTAATTTTCTGGAAATATTAACATCTGTATATAAATCACAGAAAGCTAACGCAATATTTTCCAATTTATTTCACTTATGATACTGGTATGATATTTAGAATGTTTATCAAAAAGTTTTTGTCATACTCTGTAGCGCGTTCTCTACTTATCTACAACCATGATGAAATGATCTGACAATGGTGTAACGTCAATCTATAAAAATATTTATTTTTTACATGCATGAAAAAAAAAATTTAGGCTTCTTGGGTACTATCCTTAAGGTGTTATAAATGAATTGCTAAAGATTTTGGTCAGTATGAACTAAGATTCATTACAATTGAGAGGAATTAATTAGTTTTTACTGTTTTCGTGTTTTTATTTTTGCTACTTTCTGATTGTACGTTATATGATGGTGTGAACTGTAGTCACTTTAACCAATGATTCATTGTAGTGGGATTATCTGTATTTTCATTCATTTGTCGGTGTGCATAATCTAACGTAGATACAATTAAGGTTTCTTTTGCCTACTTCTGATATAATCAATATAAAATATAAAAATAATTAGTTGTGCATCTACAAAACAATGTGTTTACATATAGTTATCACCACTTATTCATCAAATACACCTGAAGTGATAAACACACATTTTAACTGGGTATCCTACAGTTCGAAAAGAAATTCTAGGCAGATCTTTATTTTAATTAAGTATGTATTGACCATTCAATCTCTAGAGTCATGGATTCAAATGTTTCTTTACTCACCAAGATTTCAGCACTTGAACAGTATTATTAATGATTATGGATTTAGGACTGTTTTACAGTGATTAATAAGCTCAATCTTTGAACTGAATTCAATTGGATTGAAATCTGAAAATCAGTTACAATTGACACCTTTATGCATGTCGCATCAATTTTGTTTAGAAATGTGTTCACATAAGATCATGATTACAACTTCTACTAATAATATAACTTTATCTTATTCTTAATATCACTATGAATGAGCATATATCTCTTTAGCTGATTGTTGAGTACTTCAACTGTTTACAATCATTACTCGATTTCAACAAATTTTATGTCGTGTATTTTGTCATTAAGAAAATAAATATCAAAGAGTAAGTTATTAACAATACTGTAATGTTGGTATTTTTTATTAACAAAAGTACATTTGCAAATCGTTTTTCACTAAGACAAAATTTAAAATAAGGAAACCAGTATGAATATTGCTACTCAACTTCTTAACACAAATATAATTAATTACAATTAAAAGTGCAAGCAACCATGTCATAATTTACAGTAATTCATCCTAGAAATGTACTTTAAATATTGCTATATGTTAAATGTAAAATTGTGTACTTTTCTATACTAAGGCTATATGTCAGAATAAATCGTGGCGTTCTTTTCGAATCGTTAGACCTATTTCACGTTAGTTTATGCTTTTGAAATGATATTGTGGCTAATAACTATTAACCCTTTAATAAATACCTGTTACTGAAAGCTGAATACATAAACCTGTAGTTGGTCAATCAGTGAGAGAGTAATATTAGGATTTGACAATAAGGTACTGAATTCGTATTAAAATCGATACCCAAAATATGTAAACTATACAAAACCACTATTTAGAAAAAAATATCATATTATCTGGTATATGAATGGGAAAGAAATGGTATGGTATCAATTAATGAAAGCCATGTTGATATAGGGTTTTTGAGAAAGTTCGGGTTTCACTGACTTGAGCTCTCAGTTATTGAAAAATGTTACCTGGTGACCCTAAATAATACGTCTTTTAACCGAACACAATAGTAACAGTGTATTTATTTTGTATCTCCCAGTAACTCTTTACATCACCCTATTACTGTATATCTACAAATTTCTTGTTCATCAAAAGCATTCTCTTTAATGTTGTTTTTTCATTGTTTAAAAGCATACTGCTAACGAACGGTGTGTCACTTTGATTCAGTTTATAATTTTATTTGTTCTTGTACTAAGAATAGTAGTCATCTCGCAGTTAAACATTACAATCTAGTGTAAGATTACAACCGATTGAATACCTCGCCGACTACCTTTATAGATCTCAGTCAATGTAATACATAGTGATATTCATTAAAATACAACCAGGCATTATGGTCGTTTATGATAGATCAGGTATCTTCCTTTCTGTGCCGAAATTCGTTCCCATTTTAACAATATCGTACATAGTTCATCGATAATGTATTGAAATAACTTCATTCACCCCGTAAATATAACACACGTGGTAAAATTAATTGCTATTACAACTGTATTTTATTTCTTTATTTAATGTTTATGTTCAGTGGTCTAAGTATCAGATCTTTGGTCGATCATGCAGAAGTTCGCAGTCTATCACACCACAGTCGATTGGTATGATTAGTCACTACATGTATGTAGTCCAAAGCCCAGTCGATAAAACAGTACTTGACTATAAAGTTTAACTTTATAAAATATTAATCTTTTGACTAGTTAAGTTATTGAAATGAAATATACCACCACATCTATTTTCTTAAAATCTAGCTGAAGAATTTATTCTATTAAAATGTCAACATAGATTTGATATATACGAGTTACTTGTATCAAGATACTTAAATTTAAAAAACAATCGAAGCGAATAGAATGAATGCCCTCTGAAATCCACTATTAATTTAAGTATAATTCCACCAGAAGCATGTCTAACCATTGATCCTATATTTAAATTATAAAAAAAGAAAAGAATTGCTAATTATAACTTTATACCCTGAACAAAAATGACATTTATGGATTACTACATATATATATATGTATATATATATATATATATATATATATCATGGTTAGAAATCAAAATAAGGAATGAAACTAAAAATGATTTTCAAAACTAGATGGAAACCCAATTTCTGTTAGTTGTAATGAATTATGTAAATGAAAAGGAAGACGTATGCATTAAGAATTCCGACTTCGGCGTTGGGTGACAGTTGTTTTGAGTTGCAGGTGTTCATCAGTTGTAGGAATTCTGCCCTAGCTTTGCTAGATTTTGCCTTCACATCTAGGTCAGATCCTCGTTGTTTGTCGATAATGCTGGCCAGATATGTAAAGGCTTCAACCCTTCCAGAACTTCTCCATCAAATGTGATTTAGTTGGTGCTCTCGATGTATCATTCCATGATCCAAATTCTCCCCTTGTCTATGGTGAGGTCTATTGCTCTGGAGGGTACTATTACACCGGGTTTTTTCACATGCATTTGTTGTTGTCTTTAGTATAGAAGTCTAAATAGTCTAGTCGCATCCAAGTTTTCCATTGTATTCCGTGCCTCCCGTGAGATAGGGAGGTTATCATAGTCCAGTCAACCACAAACTATGGAAACCAGCACTATATCTAAGTTATTCATTATTTCCTTTCTATTGCATTCAGTCCTCTAACATGAGACAGTTTGTTCTACAATAGTCTTGTTTTCAATGGTTTCCGAGCCAAAACATACAACTTATTAGTATGGAACATATGTTTTTACATCATACCTATTATTTTTATTATTAATACCAAGTCAAAATACAAAAAAGTGTATGGAAATATCAATGTGTACACTAGGAAAATCGATTAGGATCACTATCATTATCGTTATCATCACCCCATCCATATTAATAACATGTCTGTATATTCTTTTATTAAAAATAAAAGGTGAGCATTAAATTTTGTTCCTTCTTCTGATTCTTCTCCTTCTTTATGGGTCAAATAAGGTCAATTTGTAAGAAAAATAATTTTCGAGAAAGTGGTGGTGACAGACTTCAGTAGATGGAGTGGGGAGAAGTAAAAGAATCAAATGTTATGAAAGAAGAAATAAAAAAGCATGAAAATAAAATGAGAAGAGATTAAAGTTAGTTAGTCAATCAGCACTGAGTAATTATCTTCGTCTTCCTCTCTATCACCTCCTAATGTGTATCAATCTATATAATTCCTCTTTTATCATGGAAACTTAGTTTTAATGATTGTATGAAATTAATCTTCTTTTTTTAATTCTTTTAATAATTAGTTTGCCAGTCCTGTCATGATTAATTTATTTATGTTGAAATAAAAAAGGTGGTAGGAAAGATTACGCAAATGTTTCAAGTCAGCTTGCTTTGTCTCTCTTGTTTAAACCTGATTCAGTGTATATAGTTTTTCATTTGTGCATCTACGTATGTATTTGTTTGTTTGTGAAGCCAAACGTTTTTGCGACCCACATTACAAAATGTGTCTTTGGTGTAACGTCACTATTATTAACAAAGGAAATGAGCATATGTGTACTATTCGTAAATTGGGATAGACTACGTCAAGAATTTATGTCAATTGAAATTTGTATTTAATGAAACCATGATGATTGATTACGAATAAAACTAGTTTAATAATTTAAAAACAAAGTCTCTATATCATTGAACGTTGAGATGATATCTATCAATAGAACTCCATCAAGAGTATGATAGTTCTCAAGTGAGGAGTATTAATTGTACTGTATTGAAGATAACTTTTATCATGAACCGATATCAGATTTTGACGTCTGTTTAGTATTGTATAGGATTTGTTAGATCCACACCTCATATGAGAACACACCGAAGACATTCAGGACATAAACGAAACACTTAAACTACTGAATCATTGTCCAAAGATACATATTTTCACCATCAATCAATTTGTAGTGAAGTCCGATCCTCAGCCGGCCAGTAGGTGCATCACTTTGACTAGTTTAAGCATTCTGATGAAAACTCGAAAAAAGTGTTGAAACTTAGTACTAACTATTACACAGTTATTATTCCGTAGTGTGGTCCGATGAAATCCATGCAGCTTTGTGTATGCGTTCATGTTAAAGAAGAATGCTGTCTTTAGCCGTGTTGTTGAAAGCATTCCCATCTTATAAGTTTTTTTCAAACATCACTGAAACTCCTCATGTGTGCTAGCCACATTCTTCTTCGTGATCAGAATACCACACAGCCTCTTTCAAATCTAGTCTTTGATTACCAGCTTACGTCCAATGTGTTTCATTTATTCTAAGCAGAGCGAAACTGTATTTCCTCGTTTCTGCAGCTATTTGAATGCTCCTCCCATTCTCCTATATCGTGTGAACATACCATATATATATTAATTGTTGCCCTGATTGTTAGAAGGACCGCTGACTTTGTGACTTCTGAAGAATCTTGACTTTCATCATGAGGTACCATAGGTGTTCCGTATGAACACCGTTCAACTCCCAGAGCAGAGTTGATATGGTCTAAATGATCTTTTCAGTCTAGCGCTTGTTTAACAAGGTTCTATTTTACAATATGGGGTTGATAACCCCATACTCAACCCTCCTCCTTTATCCGAACTTCGTTCTGTCAGTAACTGTAGAAAGGCTCCAGAAGGAGCTCCACAATTCTTATTTAGTTAAACGATTTTGTGGAAATTCTTCTAGAATTTAGAAGGGATTTCTTTACTAACTGTAAATCCTGTTTTTGATACCTCTTGAAACTGTAGGTGCTCATTGATAAGGAATCATATACTACACAAAAATGGGTTTACATTACTCTTTATATATCAGTTCTGATTTGGCGCGGAAAACGGCCTTAAAACACTAAGAGGATTCAGCAAACTACCTACCCTGATAAGTAAGATTACATAACAAAGAAGGTGAAGTTTTTCACACTACTTATCGAATCTTGGGAATATGTGTGTTACTGCAACAGCTTATGGGCCTATTATGTTTTTATGAGAAAAAACGGTGAATATGCTGATTGAATAATACAGAACTAGATATTTAAACGTTGAAGATCATGTGGCGCCTCGATGTAGACTGTTCTATCTCTACTGATAGCTTTGAAATAGAAATCCACAAAAAATGACTAAAAATAGAAGAAATAAGTAGAACTTAATTTGGTTTATCATTTTTTTACACTGAACCGTTGCACCCATATACTTTCACCTTTATCGTTATTATTTAAAACCTGCCTACTTCGTAAAATTCGAAAATACTCTGTCTCAGTTTCAAAAACATATTTTAATATGTCAAATTGAAGGTTAACAAAAACCTCAATTTTTCTGATCTGTACCTCTCATTATTTTAAAACGGAAATATTTGGTGTTGTCGAATGTAACCGATGTGCTGCTCTAATCCTAGATACAGATTATAGTTCGTTGACGGATGACTACTATTTGACTTCTATCTGATATAAGACTGTAATTAAATATGTTAGACGTTATCATACATTAATTTAGAGAACTAGATTTTGTTGACTGTTTAAAATCTTTTAGTTCCAACCTTTAAAGTAGTTTTCAAGTAGTACACCTTGTACATATCACTTTGGGAGTTAGAAAAGTTATCAATTATCGAAATAATCTGAGAATTTCCATTGTGGTATTTTTGACTTGAGCATTAATACACATAATCGACAAGTTAATAGACACAGCTTAGGCTTGTAGCTTTTGTTGAAATGATTCTAAATAATAATTTCAACTGACCTCTTTCATGTGTATACCATTGTTATGGCTAATGTTCTTTTTACACCAATAGAAGCTCAACTTGGTCCAATATCAAACAGTTTAATACCATCGTCTTCACTTTCAAATCCACTTAATCCAATTCATCTCAATCCGAATACATCTTTCAATGATATTAATTCCAAGTTACCTCATTCATTTACATCGTCTACACAAAATACATTAAAATCAATTGAACAAACAGATTTAAATAAAATTCTACCTGAAAATTCAAATACAACATATCCATTTGATAATTGTTTATCGAATACATCTATAGATAACATTTCATTATTGAATTCAACTAATATGAATTCAGCGGCAACTGCTGCTGCTGCTGCCGCTTCTGCAGCTATGGTAACGGCATTAAGTCAATTTTTATTGGGCAATACACCTGGCCAATCACTACCGAATCCATCATTGTTAGCTGCAACAGCTGCACTGACTAATCCTGAATTATTAAATTCTCTTATGAATGCACTGCCACCTACCATTACTACTACTAATACTAATACTACTACCAACACTACTATTAATACTAATACCACTAATAAAAGTGATAATAATAACACACCAACTATTCAAAGCAACATGAACGAACTTAATCCTAATCATTTTAATAAACTACTGAATAGTTTGACCAATGTACATAACCACTTAAATTTTCCACGTAGCACAGGACTTTCAAATAATATCGCTCAAAAACTCCTTGATATCGATACTAATTCATTTGGACTAAAAGATCACGCCTTGAATTTTATTATCAACAAAGCATGTAATATATCGCCTGATTCATTGACCAAATCTCCAACATCTTCCTCACCGTCATTGTCATCATCAATTTCACCATCAGCTATTATAACAACAACAATCGGGACAACAACTATGACAACATCAATTAGTCAAAACTATTCTTCGTTGAATCATTTAAATCAAAAAACTCCTTCATCATTATCTACACATTCAATATGGCCGTGTAAATTAGAATTAGATTTTACAAATCGTTCCATTATTAATCCATTACAATCGAATTGTGCATTAAATCAATTATTTACTGAATTAGATACAAATCTATCAATGAATATGGCAACATCGAATTCATTTGATCAACAAATGTTATCTACAATTAATTTATCAACTTGTAAAAATAATAGTTATATCACAGAGGATTCATTTAAATTAAATAATTCACGTCATTTAAGTATTGACAGTGAAAATTATTCCAGTGATCTTGAAGGCGGCGGTGGTGGTGTAGAAGGTGTAGGTGGTGTTGGCGGAGGAAATTTAACCGATTCCACATTGAGTGGAAGTTTCAATACTCTAAAAAGAAAACGTTCTAATTCACCGAATAACTCAATTGATAACAGTAAATCACGTAAATGTAATTTTTGTAATAAACAATTTAATTGTACAAGTGCCTTGAGAATACATTATCGAAAACATTCAGGTAAGTGTTCTTTTTTCAATAATCTATGTGAATGTGCTTACATGAATCTTTATACATTACATTTAATTGTTTATTTTGATATTTTAGATTGTTTCGAAGCTGAGTACACAAAAGTGTATTTGGTTATTAAAATGAATTATCTTTGTATTTTCAGCATTCCACATTAATTTGTAACTTTATATCAATTTTTTTTATTATAAACTGTGATATCTACTACAAAACTATTAGAATCGGTGAGCAATAGATAGTTTTTTACTGCCTAGTTACGAACTCCTAGTTAGTGGTTAATATATTCAAGTTTCAGTCACTGAGTAGCAAGTTTAAACTCTGCTACACATTACCTTTAATTTCTGTTATGATTAGAAAGTCTATATTCATTGGTGAATGATTTCTACGCCATTCAGTTTGTGATCCGAACCGATACTGAATCAACATTTACATTTAAAGAGAGGAATGCATTTCAAACACCTTTATACTATGATTCATAACATTCGGAAGGTTCTATATTATAATTGGATTCTCAGTCAAATAGAACTATCGTCTGTTTATGTAATTATATATATATATATATATATATATATATATATATATATATATATATAAGAAAAGTCGTCATCAAGTTGGACAAACTTTCACCAGGGACGTCACATGTTTATTCACTAATAGTGTTTAAAATTGCCTTACTTTGTTGAAGACAGATTGTCAAATTTCTAAGGTACCTATAGTTGTTGTCATTACTTTATAAATGTCATTAAGACCACAAATATGAATTGTAAGACGATTATATTGTATGATGGATCTATATTCTCAGCGTTATTTTTATTCTTTAACCAGGTGAGTAGAATCAAACACAAACTTGTGTTTACTACTACAAATAATAATTTTCTCAGTTTAATTCGTGAGCTAATCTTATTTTGACCACCATTGAAAGATCAGAAGCACTGGATATCTGTTTAGTCCCAGTATGGGGAGCTTCAGAAGTGCATATTCGCAACCCCATATATTCCTTTGGTCTTGTGTACGAATGACTAATCTTTAGACCACCAAGTCCGTATTCAACTATTTTAATTTTCAACGTCGATCTATTCGAGATTTAGTGCAACTCTCGTCCATTGTCTGCTAATAATAATTTATACGTTACAGGGGAATTGGTTAACTTTAAAATGAACATTATCTAACGACACAGATCACTGGTTTAGACAAAACACATCACCCAACTTAGATTTGCAATTATAACTGAGTATAATTATTAACCATATTTAATAGATAATTTGAATTAATTCTTAATTCTTGTTTAAGGTTTATTTGAAATTACTAGATTTTAGTTTACAAACAATCCCCATAAGTGGTTTATATTTGAAAAGCTATTTGAATTGCTAGAATTTAAAAAAACTGACCGTCCCTACTGTACTGGTTACAATGAAGTAATCATATTCAATATACTAATACTGAGTGCATACCGATTTATTTTCTATCATCACTGAAAACCACTTTGATAATCTATTGGTAGATGCATCTGTTTTCTTAGTGTACGATATTTTGAACGTTCTCGATTTTCATATTTTACATAACGAATTGATTTGAGTTAGACAAACATTGTAAACTAGAAAGCATTAAACAGTTGTTTTATCTTAGTATGAGATTTCTCAGTAGTGTGCACAACTATACACTTGGGGTCGAACTCAGGACCTTCGAGTCTCACTACAAACACTTAAGCTTTAGATTACTGAGTCACTGTTCATTGGTTTATATGTCCAACTTAAATCCATTCACAATATCAATCGCCAGTGATAATAGTTGTTTCACTGCCAACAAGGCTGTGCTCCACTCGTCAGAACTTCTGGTTAGAACTCACTTTTCACTCCTTTTTACTTAAATTTCTGGACAATTTTATTGTTTTTTGGAAGAATGTATCGTATATATGATATACGTTGCGTGAACAAAATTTTGTCATTTTTTCATCTGAAAACATTAGTATAATTACTCGAATTGCTTTTGTATGCTACGTTTCTTAAAAATATTGAGAACACAAAGAAGGGGAGATTAATCTGACTTAATTCAGTTGACATCCGGAGGTCATTTTTACCCTGTAACGATATATACATGTCTAAGCTTGTATATATGTAATGCGTTGATTATTATTATCACCATTATTATTATTATTATTATTATTATTATTATTATTATTATTATTACTATTATCATTATTATTATTATATCTTATCTTTGGGGTCAACATATCAATTTTGTGTATAATTACTCCCTTTACTAGTTGGTATTTGTAAGCATGTATGTTTGCTTATTTCATTGTATGTGTTTATCTACTGTTCAAATATAAATGATAACATTAATTTTTTCCTAGCTCTTACCATCACTATTGTTTTCGCTTTTTTCACTTCCCATGTGAATTGCAATCTTTCTCCTACTCAAACGATTACAGCAAATATCATTTTAAGTTGAAATTGAGTCCAAAAATCGAATTCACTCAACACACTGTTATAAGAATGTAATTATTACCAGCATACTTATGTATGGATGTACATGCATGTATATATACATACATATATATTAATCCCTTATATATATTCATATTTATATATAAACGTGTGAAAAGGTTAATCATTGAAATTGAAATTATAAATTGGTCATTTACTTAAAATTGGTGTAAATTACAGACAGAAATGTTTTATGATGTGATGTGTATATATGTATGTATTTATATGTATATGTGTACACCCATTTATCTATACATTGATATATATGTAATACAATGAAGAACACTTTTAGATATCCTGTCATCATCATCATCATCATCATCGTCATCAGTATAATGATTTTCACTTTTGGTCTTGATTAAAATACATGAAAAGTTTCTTTCATCATCAACAACAACAACGACATGAAAAAAGATGAAAAAATAAATAAATAAGTATAAAAAGGTTGTGTGTTTTTTTATTTTAAAAAAAACGATGTATACCACCATGCAGGAAATGAAAGTGTGAACTCAATTAGATTAAAAGCTCTAATTATATTGACAGTTTTTATCAAGAGAATTGATGTTAACAGTGTGTATAAGTGAGTGAGTGAGTGAAGGAGTGAATGAGGATGAAATAATTTGAAGGAATGACACTCTTTTTAAGTGTAAATATGTGAATGAATTAATCTCAAGTTCACTTAATCACTATGTTTATTTCAACATCTCTATATAATTATTAAATTAAAGAATTATCATTAATTTATTGTAAAATAAAATGAATTTATAATAGTTTACCTGATTTAAATAAAACTTAACTACTAACAATTATAAAGCATCAGTAGAAAGGAGAGTTTACTATTTTAATATTCACTATAGTGATTTTAATGTTATGGATATTTAAAAAACAAAAACAAAAAAAAAGAGAATAAATAAAGAAAAAAAGCTTCATTTCTACTTAGTTCGAACCATTTAACGACTTGTTACTTTACATATTCATGTAAAATCTCTTAACAAATAACCTCATTATAATTCCTATATATTCTATTCAGTTAATTGATAATAATTAAAATAATTTCAATAGTTGAGATCATGAGTCAATGGAAAACCTGGTGATCTAGCTTCAATTCACTCATGATCTCAACTTTTGAAATTACTACAATATCCATGAAACCCCTTCTGAACTTAAAATAATCTTTACATTGAATGATCTTCATAAATCTCCAAATAATAATCATATCTTCAGTAGTGATTAGTTTTGTAACGAATTCCTAAGATTTTAATCAGAATTTATAATGCATAGAGTTCATTCATGTTACAAAATGGGATCAATAACGTCAGCAATAATAATAATTAATAATTGCTATGTATCATGAATTAATATTAACTATACAAAGGAATTGTTGACTAACTTAATGAATTTAAAATATATTATGTTCACTTGTAAATTAGACAGTTTTGATTGAGATTGATGATAGACCACTATTGAAAATCTGGAAGCACTGGACGGCCGTTCCGTCCTATTGTGGAACTTCTCAGTAGTGCGCATTCACGATCAATTGCTTGATCTTGTGAAGAGTAAATCTTACTTCATTTGTCACCTTTAACTAACTTATTTAATGATAGTTTTAAATAGTAAAAAAAAACTGGTTGGAAATTATTTCAAGAAGTGAATACATCATAAAGTTTGAAAATCTATTTTATTATTATTAATATTATGACTAATGGTTTTATTGAATATTACAGTTTTGGTACAATATAGAATTCCCAGCACAAAATACTTCAACAAATTTCCTTTTCTTATTTCTTGGTCAATTCTGATGATGAATATTGAATAATCAGCCGTTAGATGTTAGCAGTTCAGGAATCGATATTTGAATAAGGTTCATTCTTTTCAATGTATATTGCCAGTCAACATGATGTTTCTGATTGTACTTTTCTTTAACTTGTACATTGAAAGGTTATAAACTTTCCATAAACGCGCCTGAATAGGGTTATAAGATTAATAGACATTATGTAGTGTTAAAATAGAATAAAAAGTGGTAACTTGTTGAAATATCTAGATGACAGGAAAAGGTAGCTGAAATATTCAAGCAGGCCACCGATGATTATCTGAATTAGATTATCTAAATATACATAAAACACAAGTCTGTAATATCATATTTGTTTACATTCACTAATTCATTATTAATTATAAATCTCTTTTAATTATACCTTCAGATCGTTATTATAACATTCACCTTTTAGTTAATTTAATTTAAAAATACGAGTACAATCAATTCAGATATAAGGCAATGGTCAGGAAGAGAAAAGAAAATGCACCAATTTCAACTTCTGTTTAAAATGATAAATACATTTGTGTAGATTATTAAAATTCATCCTCTCTATATAAACATAATGGTACAATATTAATACTGATAAGTGGGTTGGTTCTACAACTTTAGATAAGATGAATTTGGTCAGAAATGAATAATGATAAGCACAATAATCGACTGAATTCATAAGCCATGTAACGTCATCAATGCTA